ATATAGCATGTATTATCACACATGTAGGATGTACCTTAACAATGTAAGAAATACATGTATTAAGAATTACATGTACATCATCATCAATTTAGCACTTTTGGCACATCTGTATTATAATGCTCCTTTAACACATTAATTTTATTGTGATGGATTTGTATAATATGTTATATTACATGATTTATAGACTTCATAATGACTATGCAAAGTGATGTGCCTATTTTTCTTTATTATAAGTTAAACTAATGTAGTTATACTACGAAACAGTCGGTGTGTGTGTTGCACTCCCGAAACAGAAAGGACTCCGTCTTCGTTTTTGTCAACTTTAATTGCCCCACGCAACACGTTTTTCTTTTTCTGATTGTTCTCTCTGGAGCAGCCGGGCATGAACACGCAGATCAAAACCATCACACACTCTAGCCTTCTTCTTCTTCTTCTTCTTCTCTGAAACTCCCGCCACTTCTTCTTCTTCTTCTATTGAGTTTTCTGGCAGTTTACATCCTGTGTGCATTACCGCCATCAACTGGACGGAGATGTAACTCAGAAATATAATGCCTATATATCTTTATATCTTCATGAAACTAAATTCTATCTATACTTACACACACGCACATACACACACTAAATTCTCCCAGCTAATTCTGTTTCTTTTAAAATATTTAATAAGTGCTTTAATTATCTTATCTGATTGATGCTTCCCTAATAAATCAGCCATCTTTATTGAACTCCCCATTACACTTTCCAGTTCTTTCCTCTCTTTTATATATTTGCTACAATAGATCAACACATGTTCTACTCCTTCGATTTCTCCACAATAACAACAATTACCCGTTGGATGTTTCCCTATTATTTTTAGACCTGCATTTAAACTGGTATGCCCAATCCTTAACCTGTTTACCTCCCGCCACTAACACTGACGTAGTGCCCAGATCAGATATGCGTAAACAATAGTAACTAGATGCGATGTTCTAAATAACAGCATTGACCAAAAAAAATAACGGTCGCATGGAACAAATCAATAACACAGCGACCAAATATTATATATCTAAATAAAATATGTTCAGGGTGCAACATGTGTCAAAGTGAAGAATTTATCTTTATTTTAAAAGTCTTAAGTCCCCCTGAAAATGAGAACATCATCGTTGTTCGGTGCTGCAGTGCACAGATTGTTTACATTGTGACCAGTCTAACTAGGGAGTACCAATATGGCGGCCGATGGCTTCACTTCAACCCTGTACTACCGTAACCTGACAACAGCCAGATGCATGTCTCGCTCCGCCCAGCTCCACTCATATGTGAGCGGAGCTAGGCGGAGTGAGACATGCATCTGGCTGTTGTCAGGTTAGTACTACCGATCAGCAATTCAATGAATAGCTAGAGATAAATGATTGGAACATGTGCAAGAATCTCTAGGCGCTTCATTTGCTCTATTCTGCCATCTAGTGGACAATAAATGTAAAACATGCCGTCTGATTTTTATGACACTATGGCTTTGGAGTTTGAAGCATTGAATGAATTAATCAATGATGGTTTTGATACTTATACATGAATTATGAACTTTTATATGATGTCAAGAAAAGGACCTTCAAAAATATATGGCTTTATAAGACATAAGGAGTATGAGTGAAAGCGCTTTATAAATAAAGTATTTAATTAGTCTGTCTTTATGATACAATGAAATAGTAAGTATTTTATTCCTTTTTATTTAAAAATAACTTGTCCACAGTGTTCGGATGCAAGAGGTTTCTTTAAAAAAAAAATATTATTTCACCTGCTTTAAAAAAACCTCATATTTTCATACTTGATAACCATTATGAACTGAAAATGCATTACTGTGCTTTTCCATGACCCTACCGATCCCAGCTTTCATATAATAAAATAAGAAAAAATAAATAAATAAAAAAATTTGTTATATACTCTCTCATGGCTCTTATCTGCATTTTTCCCTGAGTCCATTCAACTAAACATATGAATGAATAAAGTAAAATACAAAAATCTATGGTGCACAGACAAAAGAAAAATAAAATAAAATCTAAAATGTATCCATTTTTTAATATAATTTCAACATCATAAAAAATACTGTTCGATAGATGGTTGACTTTTAGCTGTAAGTTAGCTATACTAGATCTTTATTTAAGGCTTTATATCTGAGAGTTTTAAATTCTATTTTATTTTGGATTTAAGAGGAATCCAATGAAGAGAAGATAACATTGGAGAAATATGATCTTGCTTTTAAATTTCATCAGAACTCTGGTTTGCAGTATTCAGGATCAACTAATGGCTTTTAACCAGTTTGTGGATTTCCTGATAGTAAAGAACTACAATAGTCCAGGCTTGAAGCAACTTAACCTTTTAGAGCAGGAGTCTTCAACGTTTTCGAGGCCAAGGACCCCCAAACTGATTGCGAGATGGAGTGGGGACCCACTAATTATATATATTGTATGAAATTGTGTTCTATCAAACTGGTCCTATAGTCACTTTATTACATATGGAGTCATATAACTAAAGTCATTTCTCCCTGGGATTATAAAAGCATTTCTGATTCTGATTGATGGGACAGGTGTTGTGAATGAAACGGTGCCCAGGTTTGAAAGAGCTCCTGTGTGTCGCTGAATGTGTGCATTGATGACTGAAAGACATCTTCTGCTTTCATTTATCTGTTCACTACAGTGTGTTGAATTCATGTTAATGTGTATTTAAAGACATTTTAATTAATGCAAAGAATTGCAGGAGGGAATATAAAAAAAAGTAATCAACCAAGACTTTTGCGACCCCCTAGGGGTCGCGGACCCCCTGTTGAAGACGTCTGTTTTAGAGCATTTAAAAATGCATGTCCAGACATCATCCCAGCATGTCTGGACAAGATATTTCCATGTTCTGCAATAATCCAGAGATCAAATAAGGACAATTTAGAAATCCATTTGATATTTGATTTAGATAACAAATCCTGATTAAACATAACACCCAGATTTTTAATGTTATCAGAGGCCAAATATACCATACAAAGGACAAAGTAGTTTCTATTTCAGAGTATGGTCCAAACACAATAACTTCTGTCTTGTTTGAATTCAAAAGCAAAACCACATTTATTTAAAACCCTGAAGTCTTCCTGACAGTTTAACCAGGATTCATGGTGAAATATAACAGCATCATTAACGTCATAGACATTCAGTGCAATCATTCTGTTACTAGAACTTAAAACAAGTTAGTCTTTTAGCTGCCAATCTGCACAGAGATGGCAACTTTTCTTTTTTTAGCTGATGTCTAGGTTGGGAAATATTTTATTTATTTTTTCTAGCTTCAAGAGGTCTCAGACCGTTAATCTTCAGAAGGGGCATAATATGGGAAACTCATGAACAGGGCGGTACCCAGAAGGTGTTTTCTTGCTGACTGGAAGAAAATACATATAGTGTTAAATGTATTATTTCGTCATATAAATACCCATAGCTGACTCTATTAAAAAAAAACTATAGGACCCTTAAAAGTAATACCGCAGCGCTGCCTTTGATAAAAAAAACTAAAGCTGTACAAACTATTTTATACTGCTGACTTTTTTTAACCTAAAGCTTATAGGTTAAAAAAAGGGATTGGCAGTCTAGTGGTTAGGGCATCGTGCTTGGAATACAAAAGGTTCTGAGACCCACTCCCACAGACTGCCACTCATGGTCCCTGAAAAAGACCTTTAACCCCCATGCTGCTCCCCTGGGCTCTGCACAATGGCAGCCCACTGCTCCCCAAGGGGATGGGTTAGATGCACAGAGTTAATTTTGTTGCTCTGTGCTTGTGATACTGTAACTAAATTCAATAAAGTTGAATTCTTCTTCCTTTTAACTATATAATAAAACTTAAGGATTGAAAGAAAAAGCAACAAACAAAGCTGGTAGCCAAAGCAACCGACATTACTGAATACCTTTATTTTACTTACAGAGTTGAACGTTTATTCCAGGTTTCCTAACAGTGAACACATTCACGAAGCACAGCTACCAGAAACTACAAACAGTCCAGGATGTCAAATGTACACATGGTTTTAGAGAGGGAAACATCCGGCACCGGCTGCAGCGCGTTTCCACCAGTATCACCACAGCTGCGCTCAGAACAGATTGTTTCTTCTTCTTGTTGTTTGTTTATGAACCTTTAAAACGGCACAATTAACTCTAGTGCTGATGATTATCTATAATGTCTGGGTCGCAGCTTTCTGCTTAGAGAGAAACAAGGAGACTGGAGCGATGATGACGTTTGCTTTTGTCAGCCAGATGGATGGGTAGTGCAGCTCCCAAAGTCACACACAGTCCAGCAAGTCTGGGATTTTTCTAGTTCTCCAAGTCTGTACTTGTCAGTTATTTTTCAGCCTTCTGTGCAGGATTGTAGCTGATGGAGAAACTGTACAAACCATTCATACAAGCTGCAGGACAAAGGGAATGCATCATCACAACAGAATTATCACTTTTTTTTTTTTTTTTTTTACATTTTCTACTGGTTTAACAGTGAGAGAACACAAAAATCCTGTATGGTGACAGCATGTGCAAGTCATTCACATAATGAGTTAGTCAGATAAGGCTTCTCTACAATGTGCAGCTAAAATCATGACACGCTTGTTGAACATTGACATTCAAATGGTAAACTAAGTCCTTCATTACCGTCCGCTCCAAACAACAGATAACTACTGTTGGCACAAGCCAATAAACACAGACTGAACGATGAAATATGGTCCCAGTGAGAGCAGGAGGCTGGGAGATAACGCCACTGAGGATGCACCAATCTGACGTTTTAAGGCCAACATTTGGGATCTTTCTTCTAAGCATTTTATCTAATAAAATATTGTTTTTTTTAATGCATCAAAGCAAAACCCCACCCCTAATTCATTTCTCTCAAGATAAAAAATTGCATTAAAGTAAATGCTGTTGATGGATGCATTTATTTATGCTTCAAAATTGTGGTAGTTTAGGGTTTTGATGCGTTTATTATCACTGATTAGGAAGGCCGTGATACATGAGCCGTTTGATTGGTGCATCTCTAAATGTCACTCCCTCTTTAATCAAGACAAACCTTATAAATAATCTGGTTTACTTAGCTTTCTCCACCTTTTTGTGTCCATTTTAAAAGAAATAAATTCCAGTTCCAACAAAGAAATAAATCCTTCAAACATAAACAGTATCTGATAAAGCCTGGGTTTTTGGTGTAATAGTGATCAGAGGAGAACAGGCTCATTTTAAATACTAAGTGCACAACAGGAAGAAAGATCAAAGTGCAGAACAGAAGGCAGAAAAGACAGAGCTGAGGAAGACAAAAAGTCTTTGTCACAACATGGGCAGATTTCCTGGGACTAGTCTACTCTCATGCAGACTCATTTTTTAATCTGGTGATGTCTTTAAAGCCAAATCAATGCTGTTTACACCAATGAACAAAGCCTGAAATTCACCTTTAAAATGCTTGAGAGTCAGGGGGATTTATACATTTATTAGTTAATCTTACGCTGTGCTAATCAAACTTCAAATACGTCACTTTCATTTTCCACCTTTTGTCTTCCTAGCTGTTGTTTCAGCTACTGTCTCTTGCTCTTTCCTTGCTTGCTCTCTTTTTCTCTCTTTACTGTAGGGTAAAAGTAAGAACATACCGTTTAGGATGGAAAACATTCTAGGGAGGAAACTTTAAAGTTACCTTCCCTGCTTTATATATTCTTACCTCAGATAAATGCATCCAATGCAAAATTTTGTTTTGGCCATTTTGTTTTCTGAGATCACTGGGTCTGGCACTGGTTTTGATTTGTGTATTTTTTTTTTCAAAGTCGGTTCCTTTGTTGATACGACCCTAGATTTGCGTTTTAGCCAGCGATCTTTATTTGGAATATTTTATAAGTAAAACATTAAACATTAAAACCAATGTGCTCTAAAGCTACATTCACACCGGAGGCAAAGTCTATGGAGGACAGCGTCTAGGGGTCCAGCTGCACATTTCGAGCTTTCTGGCGTCCAGCGTTCAGACATCGGAGCATCCGAGTCTCTGAGCATCCGACGCTGGAGTTCAGCAAATTGAACTTTTGCCGCTGGACGTCGGAACATCAACCAATCAGAAAAGCTCCAGGAGTTTTTTGGGGGAGACAGACAGTCCCTGCAAGCTGTCATCACTTCTGCAGACATTCTGCATAAATATCAATGGAGGTAAACTCCAAAGGTAAAAACAAAAACAAGCTGGAAAATTTTTTATGAACTGAAAAAAAGTTTATAAATACCCAAATTAACTAGAAATGTTAAAACCTGCTGACGAAAAATATTAGATTGTATATTCTGTAATATATTTTTTTACCGCAACTCTACTCACCTCCATCCGCTTCTAAAACGTCCATGTTAGTAGCAAAACATCCCCATGATTTTTTAAAACAGAGATTTTCCCGAATTATAAAAAATGGATTTGCGGGAATGGATCAGAGAATGCGACAATCCTGCAGTGAATTTCAGACCATGATGAAGTTCCAAAACTTTAATGCCAAATTGTTTCTACAATGCTAGGCTAAAGTAACAAATATGTCAAGATATCTGAAGCAAAGCCAATGGATAGGAGCTGAGACAGCAGTTAAAACTAGATCGCTTCCATATCTGGTGGCTTTTGGTGACAAATGCCCATGTTGTGTTACAAAAACAGGAAGGCAAAGGTGGGACATAAGCAGAACAGATCTGGAGCAATTTCTGCAAAAACATAGAAAAAAAAATCTCTTCCATTCATTCTGCTTAGTAATACATGGCTTTGTAATACAAACAATTGCAAACATGGCAATACTGAAATAAATAAGCACAGAAAGATAACGGAACATTTTCCAAGGCCCTGACCAGAAGAAAGTAATGAGAAACTACTAAGCTAGGTGTACGGTTGTGCGCACAGATCTGTGCTTTTCCTGCAATGTTTGTGAATGTGGTCTACGGAGGTCCAACATGGACACAATAAAGATAATAAGTCACTGAACTCATCGGTTCTCGTTTCTCAAAAGAAAGAAAAAATATTGATATTAAATATATTAAACATGCCAATTCCTAGTTGTTTTTAATTTTTGAAAAACATTCAATTATTTCACTTTATTAGTGATTTCATGGTTGTTTCTGCAGATTTTTTTTCTACTTAAAATCCAGTGAGCAAAGCAAGTACTGCCCTGAATAATAATAATTAACAAATAATTAAGAAATTTCACTTTTAATAATCTGATTTTGCATTTTGTAGCAATTGGGAAAAACCTAAGAATGAATGAATTATCTCTAAAATATATAACCTTTTTAAATAACCTTTTTATTTACATTGTGGCCCCTCAGGCCCTCCGTAGATAACTGTCCATGGTTTATTTCCTTGGTTCTGGTCAAAGCTGTAAACAGTAGACCTCATCGTAGCCTTAATGGGTTCTCTATAGACGCTCCTCTGCCAGAAACACATTAAATATCTACGTTCAAGACATAACGCTTTAAAATCAGTGCTGTACCCTTAAACTATATAACATACCAGTTATGACATAAATATTCTGTCTGTCAGTGAAGCTAACGTTAAGCCGTTTAGCTTGTCCTGATGGTCTGTTTTATTTTTGTTCTGAAATGCCAGTAATCCTAAAAAACAAAAGGGGAGGCTGGCAACAAAAGTTCAATAAATAAAATACAGGATATATATATATATATATATATTATTTATTTTCATAAAGATTTATTTATGCTTAAAATAACATATTACTGTCTTGGCCTGACTCTGGTGCTCAGAGGCGGATTAAAACCGGTAAAACTCACCTGTTTTTGCATCATCGTGTCACAGTAATTGATGACTTGCTAAATATCTCATTGCTGAAAGATAGCTACCTTAATGATGAGAGGAAACACAGAGGAAGGATCAGGGCTGAGATGGATGCTGATGCAGATTAACTGACTGGATCTTATGGCTTCTTTAGCGGCAGATGTTTCTACAAGCGTTTAACAGAGCCTATGGGGGCGAGCAGTGTGCTGGAGAAGGTAACGCTTATCTAGAAAGTGATAAAGATGTGTGAGCACTTCAGCTTTTGGACAGAAATGTTTATTCATATTGTATCAGAGCACTATAAAAGAAAATGTGGACGATCTTATAGGTGGCAGCTGCAGGGATTGGGCTTAGCTTAGACTCTGGTGAGGAAGCCCAGGTTCAGAGAGGTGGGGATCTGGATGGTTTCCAGGGCGAGGGAGGATGGGTTAAACGGGAAGGTGACAGGGTAAATCATTTTGGTGTCCATTAAGAGCTGAGGACTCTCACAGCGGTCTCGCAAACGGGTCTGAAAGAGAAGAAGAGTTTACAGATCAGTAATTACAAGAAGAGAAACTTTGTCTAAAATGAACATAAAATCTCTGACAGGAAACGCTTCACGTGCATTAATCTCCTCTCACATCCATTCCCTTTATCATTAGAACATCATCTTTCCATAAGCATGGATTACCTGGATGGTTCGTATGAAAGCCACAGAAACTCTCTCCTCAAACTCATTAACGGGAGTGTACAGGTTCAAGACCTTCACAATCTGGAAGAGAAGTCATTTTTAGAGCAGGGCTGTTTATGGTTGTGATTTTTTCCAAGATGCTGCTGAGCTTACCTGAGCAGTGGTGAGAGCGTGACACATGGTGCAGATGGCCTCTGCGTCTTCGTCCGTCTTCTTCTTCACTTGCAGCAGCTGAGCAGCCTGGATCAGAGGCTCCAGGGTCTCTTTGGCTCCGCAGTTCATCAAGCCTTTGTCTCTTAGCCACTCCTCCAGCTGGCTCACGTTGTACCTGCAGGTATGCGTGATCAGCTCTGCTCCTACGTTAAGATGAACCAAACCCTGCAGCCAGCGTCTCCTACCTGATCTGCATGCCTTTGCTCCAGGAGCACATGTCCTTGCGCAGCAGCAGGTTGTTTAGGGTGACGGCACCGATGATGTAGAACAGCTGCTTCACCACCTGCTTGATGAGCTCGGGGTCGGTGCCGTGCTGACACATGGTGGAGTGGAAGGCGCTGAGCTGCCGCACAATGGAGTCCAGGGTGTAGGTGCCTTCGTCGGCGATACTGGACGTTCGCTTACGGAGGCCTGTGGGCTTCACTCCGGACACGCCCTGAATGGTCTCATGTTCCAGCATCCCACATACTGAAAGGAAAAACAAAAAGCCCTTGAACTATGTGATATTCTGGACATTAAAACTACAAACTGCTGTGTTTCTGACTTGCATCTGAGTAAATGAAAATGGAAAGTGTTTTTTATTTTCAAGTATTTCACAGATTCTCCATCGATTTAGACCCAGACTTTACTTAGGTCGTTCTACTGCACTGATATTCCTGAATTGAACCATTTCCTCAATGTTTACAATTTGATATTTTGCAGCCTCCCAAATTTTCTTCCAGCCTCCATTTCTCTCCCTTCATTTATCCATCAGCTTCCCCATCTCTGCAGAAGAAAAACATCCTGTAAATGTGATATTAGGAGTAGAATCTACCCACCTATCATTGGCTGGAGGATGTTCTCCATGCATTTAACCAGCTGCTGGTAGATCTGAATGGCCAGGTCACTGATCACCTGCCTGTACTCTGCCAGGTCAAAGTTGGACAGACAATGCTCATTCTGCCTCACCGAGTTGTGCTTCATAAAAGCCTGGGGGACAAACACAAAGCAGCCTTAAAAAAAGAACAAAAGCAGCACTATTCCCACTTCAGATAATCAGGAAATAAGGTTAGTAATAAGAAATAAGGAAAGTAATGTTAAGTGTATATATAAAACCTTTTTAACAAGCGAATGTAGCAGGAAATTTGAATTATTCTCTGAATATTCATGCTGTTTATTCCTTCTCTGATTGTTTATTCGGTTTATGTACATTAATGAATACCTGAATGTTTGTGAGGTTATCTTCCATCTATAAACATTCAGAGGCAAGAAAGAAATAATCTAACCAGAAACAAAAGGACATAATGGAGCATTAATTCCCATATAAGAGCAGGCAGAGGCTGAGGCTTCATCAAGGCCAAATGCTGGGTTAATATATTGGGCTTTTAATTAGAGAAGCATGATGCGATTAGAATGACTGTGATCACGGATCAGTGGGTCAGAGAAAGCACAACAAGAAAGATGGCAACAACTTTTGAACAGTTCTAGCTTGATTCATCTTTGGAATCAGTTTTGGAAGGGTTAGACTTGGGGTTTTCGTTGAAACGTGAGCAGGAAGAGGCTCTACGCTCATTCATTTTTAAGAAGGACGTATTTGCCGTTTTACCGACAGGCTGTTTGTTCACACTCCCCCCTCCAGCTTTCTGTCACTCTTACTAAGTCAGTTGTGTCAACAATCTTCTGATATCTCATTCATCGGGGCCAGACTAAATTACACATTTAATCTCACATTTAGTCTGGTTTATCAGGCTAGGATAAATACTCATTTTGTTGTTCATTTACCAGCCAGAGTTCTGACTTTGAATCTGAAAGGGAATGGAGGGAGGGTTTGCTGAGTGATTTAGCTAAAAATCGTATTAAAAGTGTGATGTGGTCTTCATTTTCCTCTGCACTAATCAGAGCTCCGTTGGCCTTGTATGACCTCTTATCCAACATTCTGGGACTTAAGTTCTTACTTCTAGCTGCCATAAATCTATCTGCCCACTAGTTGCAGTTCACTCTTTCATTTTTCATTAAATGTAACAAAACCAAAAGTTAAGAACCTCTGAAATTTGGAAATTGTATTTTTTTTATAAGTTGAAAATACATTGTAAATGCATTTATTTCTCCATCCATGGGAGCCCAAGATTAGGGTGATGGCATGCATGCTTTCCATTCTGGAAGACAGGGAGCTCATTATAAATTGTCACAAACATGGATAATAAATCGTTGTTTTATTATCTTCAGCTTCTTCGTTATCAGTTTGAGACTCTTATAAGAAGCGATAGTTCCTTCTTATTTTACCACCTAAAGAGAAAGTAGACGAGGCCATAGTTGGATGTGCCTGAGAGAACGAAGCGTCTTTGAAAGCATCAGTGTTGTCGTGTTTTTGTGCACAGGTGTGCTGCTGTCACCTGCTCTCCGCTGTATTGTTTCAGACAGTGCAGGAAGCGGCAGGTGTTGGCCAACCAGAACGAGACCGTCTCAAAGTCATCTCCACGTTTCTGAGAGAAGATAGAACCATATCAATCTGCTCCTACTAACAAACCATTCTATTCTCATAAATCTATGTCCTGAATTCAATAAACTAACCTTGAGGATCTTCTTGATACTGTTAATGGTTGACGTGAGCAGAGTGCGAACTTTCTGGTCATCGTTGACGTAGTCTGCGTGTCTCAGACACATGAACAGGATGTAGGCTGGCAGACCTGGGATCAGATTTACAGCCACGCCGCGAGGTTTCAGCTCTGGGAAGACAAAACATTTTTAGAGATCCTGCAACCTTTCATAATGAACTTGCTCCTATATCATCAAACATATTAGCTCAGGAAGCGTGGGGACTGGAGGCAGAATCCAGGGAAACTCAGAGAAGTATAATCTGCCTTAAAAAAAAAAAAAAATCTCCTTTCATACCCAGAATTAGGTTCTTAACCAGCTTCATTTCATCCTCCTTCTTGTACTCCAACATTCCCTGGAAGTCCTTCTCCCTGCGGGGAATGTTCACAGGATGGATGGGCTCCTCCACCATCTGTCCCGGAGACGTCTGTCCTTCCGTTTGACCCGCTGGGAAACACATTTCACAACACATTTAGCTAAATCTCATTCATATGAACTAAAAGGTCTGTTTTTTTTCCTGGTCAGTGAACACATCAGCAGGAAGTAGCATTAATGCTTAACTGTAAAAGATGATATGATGAAAAAAAAAATGACTCTGAGATGGACGTTTTCAGCATCAGTGAGGTGTGAGGAACAAAACCTAAAAGTCACTCCTTTCTCAGGTTTTATTTTTTTTTATCTTGTGCCAGATTTTCTAAGTGAAAAGAAATCAATAATTTTTCACTTGGGGGAAGCTGTAGCTGACCTGGGAGAAGTTTCTTGGGTTGGAAATGACTACAGGGTTCCTACAGCATAAGGCAAGTTAAATTCAAGACTTTTTAAGACTTTTTAATGCCACTTGAAATAAAAATGTAAAACCAAATTCACAAGAAACACAAGAAAAACCTGCTTGCGACAACTTAACCCAAAAGTTTATTTCAACATAACCCACTGCACTAATGTTTCAGATTTTGAAAAGCTTCCCATACAGGAAGAAAGCTAAAAACACACAAATGACAGATATATTTTAACAATTATTTAACTGAATTCACAAACTTTGTTTTAGCAGGGAACAAAACAAATCAGTTTTAAAGCCACAACATAACCAGTGCTAAGTCTTTTTTGCAGCTATTTTTCTTTGTATCATTTTCTTCGTATGTTTGTTTTGGTGATAAGTGGAGGTGTTGCAGAGACAAGGGTGGAACAAAACTGAGAAATACTGGCTGTTTCTCGGTAACTCGATTTTGACGCTGTATTTCGCGCTCCGCATGTGCAACTCCACTGCCTTAATTCCCATCGTTCTGAGCTTGAATGACTTCTTCCACAAAATCCACTGTGCCTCCTGTATGTTCCCTGGTTTTAGCCATGGAGAAAACTCTTGGCTGGAGAGACAATTTCCGTTACATTTACACTTGCTCATATTTTCCAGACAAAGGTCAATTTTAATCTTTTATTTAGATTACAAAAATAAATCGTAATAAAAATGATCCTATTTATGATGTTTTAGAAATTAAGACCTACGACAGACTGATTTAAGACATTTTAATACCAATTAAGACCTTAGTTTTATTTTGAAGAATTCAATGCCTTTTTAGACTTTTTAAGGACCCGCGGGAACCCTGGACTAACATAATCCCTGCGTTAAGGTAGAAATCTACGTAAAAACATAAAGAAGGTGAGAAAAATAGTTGATTATTCTGGTCTTGTTTGAAATGAGTGAAAGCATATTTTACAGTGATTAATTTCACAGATTAATGCTGTTTATGGATTTGAACCTTTTTTGGGCTGAGAACAGTCACCATTTAAAAAACAAATCAAAAACCAATTCCACCGATCGTCTATCACAGTCCAAAGGTCCCGTACCGCCCATCTCTCCGATCCTCTTGGAATAAACCTTCAGCTGCTTCTTGAGTTTGCGAATGGTTCGATCCTGCTTCTCCAGCTGCTCCATCAGATCCTAAAACACAGCGAGAGAAGAAGAGGAGAGAAGAGTGAGGCCTGACTTGAAGGGAATCACAATAACGTCACCCTTAAGTGGTAAACAAGAAAGAGAGAGAGAGACCAAAAACAAAGGCAAGTGGGTCAGAGTTAGAGCTGCGGTGCTGATTATTGCTTCAGAGGAGGAAAGGCTGTGGGACTCTAGCTGTTACAGAGAAGAGTGTGCAGAGTTAAAGCCAAGGTGGAGCTGTTGCTCAGATTACGCCTATCTGGATTAATGCGCTCTCTGACACGCATGCAAGCACACACAGACTCTACATACAACCATCCGTCGTAAAATGATGACTCGAGCCTCTCTGGATGCGGTAGGGTCGTCGGCCATGAGTTCCTGTCAGGTGACAACATCCACACAGTGAACCTGTGCTGTCGTTTAGCTTCTTTATGTGTGGCCCAGAATAAAAGTCACGATACGCTATAGTAAAAGACGGTTAATGTGGGTAAAATCACACCGTCCCATTATTAAAGTTTTAAAATCACCATTACAGCTGGAAGAGAATAACACGTCCCAGCTGGTAAAGTGCTTCGATTAAACACGTCTGACTGCTTATCTGCTCATCATGAGTGCTTGGGAGCGTACCAGGTTCTCGTTGGTGAGCCGGGTGATCTCATGCTGCAGGCTGGCTTCGATTCGGGCCTCCGGAGGCAGCTGGAGGTTTTGGGCCAGCAGCTGCTGCTGCCGGTTGTTCTCCTCTTTCACGTTCTGCAGCTCGCCGCGCAGCGACTCCACCTCGCTGTCATACGTTCGCCGCTGGGTCTGAAGCTGCTGCTCCAGTAACCTGTAGAGGAGGAAGGAGAAAGAAAATGATCTCAGACACACAAAGAGAGTTTGATTCGAAGGAGGTGATGCAGGCTGGCAGCGGCATGCCGTGAAGAGACTCGGACAGTTCAATGGTTCTGAGGAGGCTTTTAGCTTTAGTCCTTTGGAGGCATTCAGGTAAAAAAAGGTAGAAAAATCTGACAGAGATCAGAGTTTTTAATTCAGCAGATAGTCTAGCATGCAACAGCTGCATTTGTATCTAAAATCAACAGAAACCAAAGAAGAAAATCTAGTAAAATGTACCATAAATGCACCAGGGAGCGTTATCACAGATCCTTCCTCCCAGCAGCTGGAAGACTTTATAACCACCACTGTTCCCAATAACCTCACTAAATTGTTATATTCATGCTGATTATTGATTTTCTTTTATCCAGATACAGAGCATTTATATTGTAAAAAAAAAACTGTAAAGTACAATAAGTCATTACTTAACAACATAGATACCAAAATAATTAAATGATCAATATTACCTGATTAACATTTACAGCACTTGCTCTTTTATATGTACAGATTTTATTTTGATAGCTGGGAAAAATATCGTATTGTAATCAAAGTACTGTGATACGTTTCGTATGGCAACACATTACTCACCCCAATGTAACACCACAATTTACTGTTTGTGGGACAATAAATGGATTTTCTATTCTATTTTACTCTAAAAAAACAAAAAACTCTTAGCTTGTGAGCTTTTTCTGAGCCTGCATCTCTAGCATGCCTACAGCTAATCTGCAGAATAGGAGGACATTTATTTGCACTTATTCAGGACAAATCAAACAGCAGGACATCTCTACAGCATCACAGCTGAATTAGTATGTAGTGCATCTGTTCAATGAAGAATTATTCACACAGTTAATAATAAAAAAGAAAATAAATGTTAGAAACCAAGAAGACTTGTGGTTTTCTTTAAAACCATCTTAACTAGAACATGTTAAACATGGGAAAAAGGCAAATATATTTTGTCACTTATTTAAGGAAGTGAAACATGGATTTTAGAAATAAAAAAAAAAGTATAACATTTAAATATTTGATTGATTATAGCAAAATGCGCCTGAGAAAATTAAATTATTGTGGAAAAGTAAAATGATCTTAAATGAATCCTCCAAATTTGAGTTAATTCACTTAAAACATCTGCAAAGCCTTCCTGGCTCTAATCTTAGGCTACGCTAAAGCTGCAGGTCTTTATGCTTGGCTCAATTTTTTTTTCTAGTATTTGATCTTTTTGGGTTGTTTTTTCATCTTACCAATTAAATATGAATCCTGCGTTATTGGTTCAGGACATCAAAGCGACCTGCATGCCTTACATAGCAGCACATTGTTTAGAGAAGTAATAATTGATCTGACTGTCACTAGATTTGTTTAATGAAGCTTATTTTTTTAAACAAAAGAAAAACCTAATAATAGATGCTTGTGCCTTTGTTCTTATTAATAAACTCTGCTGCTGCAGCGTAGGAGTCTGGATAATGATGTAAAAGTTGGATAAAATGCAGCGTTCAGACTGCAGAGGCTTTATTCCATATGTGAAAGTGGATCACTCAAAACACTGTGATAAAGTCACATATAGGTGCAAAGATTGGAATTGTGAAAAGGACAGCATCCTCTACAAGGAGGCTAAAAGTATCATTAAGAAAAGGTGATTATTAAAATACTTCTGAGGTAAAAAAAAAAAAAGTGGTAGAAAGAGGTATACCAACAACAGGGATGAATGTAGATGAGAATTCCTTCTAAAGGATGATTTGATGAACTATTTAATGCAAATGGAGCCTAAACTAATTAATAAAGCTTAGAGATTAACACTCTTTTAAAGAGCCAGACTTTTCTGTTTCAAACACCCTTAATTATTTATCATTTGTAATATTCTAAGTCTCTGAATTTGAACCTAAATTAAAGGTAATAAAGGCTTTCCTGAGCTATCTCTATAGTTATGCCACTATAGGCTTAGACTTCTGGAGGGCATAGGGACCCCTATTTCATCATTCTGCTTCATTCTATCTCTATTCTCCCACTCTGCAGAATCTGTTAGTTCAACCTCTAACACTATGCTCTGCTTTCTCTCATAGTAGCTCCATCTGGTATTTTCCTGATTGGCTGTGACTCCATCCTGGAGAGAAATATCAGCTGTGCTGCTTTTTTTTAAAAATGATTTTGGACATCGACCTGTTTTTCAGTGTAGTCCTGTTTCTCTTATTTTGATTAACTGGATGTGCTCTCTTCAACCTCTGACATGGGAGCTGACTCAGAGCTTGTCTGCCTGGCTGTGTGTTTCCTAGACAGGGTCGCCTTTTACAGTTACATCTGTATCTCTGCTTCTGTCTCCTTGAACCACAGTCGGCCTCAGCAGATGGCCGCTCACACTGAGTCTGGTTCTGCTGGAGGTTTCTTCCTATTAAAAGGGAGTTTTTCCTCTCCACTGTTCTTAGTGTGAGGGATTGTATTTGAGTCAATGAGTCGATGCAATCAACTGGTTTTCCTTAGATAGAAAACTTGGAATCAATCTGACTGGATTATCTGGTGAACTGTAAAGTGCCTTGAGATGACATGTGTTGTGAATTGGCGCTATATAAATAAACTGAATTTAATTTAATTAAATACTCTGTACATGAGTATAATATATTAAATCTGCTTTCCTGATTATTGGAGGTATACCCCTAGCATAAAAAGGTCCAGATTACAGATTACAGTGAGGATTAGTAACAGAATGAAAACTCTTTAACCTCCAGTAGAAATGAGGTTCTGATGTGAAAGCAGAATGAAACACAGAGAGAAGATAAAGAGAGCACTCGTTCTATCCCGGACTAAAACCAAACACATCATGCTCTGAAGACACCATGTGCTTGAGCCCCAGTTACACCTGATGGTTTCCTTTAAGCCCTGATTAACCAGCCAGAGCTCCCCGTCCTCATTCAGTTTATGTAGGTCTGGAGCAGCGGATCTGACCAACACACAGCACAGAGGGACATGAATGACAGGAAGAAAAGAGGGACAGCCGACACAGCTGGAAAACAACATGAATGATATGAAAAAATGAAATCTATCATCTGATCTAAGATGTCTGTATAGAAACAACCTAAAATATATTTATATAGTGCAAAAATACACTGGACTAACACTGGAACAGGTCTACTGATTAAAAATGTAGTAAAATAATAAATATGTACAAATGAAAACATTTAGTTTAGAATGACTCTCTCTGGTTAGTTTTGATCAATCAATTAATTATCTGCTGCTTAAGGCCCCGTCCACA